TTTATCATAGTTACATAAAAATATTTATTGTCTATAACTTGCAAGGTACTAAAATACATTACAATAGACACCAATATTTACTTATACCATAAATAATGATGTATCTAGTTCACGGTCATTTATTCTCTGATAAATGCATGGGTGTGACTTCCACAATGAGTTTCTGATATGGCACATCAAGCCGTACTTGCTCGCAATGTAAAATCTCTTACAAGCTTGCGACAACTTACCTTCAAGCTTGCAAAATGAAGCTCTGTTTTTAGTTTTATCTTCTTCCAAAATGCATAAGAAAATGAGCTGTGAAATATAAATCTTATAAAACTATAGTCTCAATGTTTAGCACATATAAAATAACTTTGCTTTTAAAAATGGATTCATTATGGTTAACAATATTTAGGTAATGCCCCTCTCTCCCTCAGACAGACAAAATAACATCCAAATAGAAGAAGGCGCATTACATTTTCAAACTCTCCTTTGTATCTTCTCTTGTCAGTACAGCACTCCAATCTTGATATTTTTAAATGCTTTACTTGGCGCTTCTGAAATTCTTGGCTTCCACTTTCAGCTGTCCATGTTTTGGCTTCCAGTGACTGCACCAAACATATCCAAACATCCACGTATGGTGTGTCTTTTCTCTTTCTTTTTCAATGCTGCGGATAAGACCTTCCCATCCCAACCAAAAGTCCTGAGGTGTAAGCATTCCTTAATTAAAAGATGAGAGAGAGAAGAAGAAAAGGGGCACAGGCTAGGAACCTCTTTTTTTTTTTTTTTCTTTTTTCTACTTTACGGCATAATACATTGCTGCTTCAGCCTATATCCTATGCACATTAAGTTGAGCTTGTCTTTAGCAAGTGCTTTTAGCTGACAGTTGTATTCAGGAAAAACCTTTTGATGGGTTCTTCTTTAACAGGCTGCTTCTCTATTTTCTTGTACGAAAACATGAACCATTAGAAATCTAAGCATGTCCTTCAGTGTTAAATGCTAAGATACTGTTTATGTGTAATTGTTAAATAGTTTTACATTAATCAGTTCTCTAAAGACTCATTAAACGTAACAATAATAATAATAAATCATTAGAAACAGATATTCATACAGCTCGATTACACAATGCTAGTTTTTGTTTATTAAAATCAAATATTTCTATGTCATCATCAAATAAAACGAACCAAAGACAGAAACAAGAAGAAGAAAAAGAAAAAAAAAAAGAAGAAGAAAAAAAAAAAAAGGATATGTCGAGTTAAAACCACAACAGCCACGTAAACAGAAGAGCCGAAGCTTAGCAATAAGACACAACAATGAAAATAAATGCTCCAATATTTACACAGATGCAGCCAGGTTAACTAACACCACCAGTCGTCTTGCATCAGGACCAGGAATAACAAGGGTTAGGCAACATGTCAACAAACTCAGACACAAATAACACTTTACAGAAAATGTGTTTGAAGCACCAAAGGAAATCGTGTGACGGGTAATAAGGTTGGAACCTGCTTCATCTGGCGCTCCTTCCCCGTTTACAGAGAAAGGTAAAAATAATTACAGTGCTTCTCTCTTCATTCTTTTTGAGCAGGTGATGGATAACAATGCAGGAGAAAAAGGAAGAAGAAGAGGAGGAGGAGGAGGAGGAGGAGCAAGAAGAAAGAAAGAAAGAAGAGGAAGAGAAGGAGGAAAAGAGGGAAGAAGAGGAAGAAAGTTAATAATAATTACAGTGCTTCTCTCTTTATTATTTTTGAGCAGATAATGGACAACATTGCAAAAGGAGGAGTAAGAGGAATAAGAGGAGAAAAGTAGAAAAAAAAGGAGGAGGAGATGAAGCACAAGAAGGAAGAGGAAAAGAAGGGAAAGGAAAGTTCCTCTGAGGATGAAAGTTATAATGATAATAACTATCATTGCTATTCATAACTATGCACGTGTATATGCATGTTAATTGGATTACACCTATCAAAACGGCTGTCAGCATCATTTCTAGGTTGCCTTCAAGGGGTAAAAGTTTCTGAGGTATGCTATATTTTGTAAGTGCTATATGTATGTGTATTTATAATTCCTTTATCTTATTACATTATTTCACTATTGAAATATAACAATACAATTGCAATAGATAAAAAGAAAAGAAGGAAAATATAGAACCAGGATGTGTAATTTCATCAACTATTTCTTTTCCTTCATTGCATTGAGGCAGAGCTTTTAAACTCGTAAAAAAAAATATAAATAAAAAAAGTATTTATATTCTCCCTTGAGTTAACTATTGTATTCATAAAGACGCTTCATCATAAAAGTATGTTTAAATAATAATTACATTTCTTACTGATAGCAATTTTTTTTTTCTTCTTTGTTATGACTGCTTTAACTCTTTCACGCATTCCGTAGTAGTTGCTATATTACACTAACTCCTGAAATTCTTTTTTTACTGTATGTTAAACATATGTAGCCTACTTTAGCTGTATCAGCAAGTTACACACTTTCATTTATTCATCTCTGTACTGAACTCGGAGGATACTTTTCCCTATGTAAAAAAGTAAAAAAATACAATCTGATGATCTGGAACTTCTAATTCTTACTGGGAAGCTCATATAGTATTCTATCAGTTCTTGGGTGGTAATTACAGAAAAAAAAGAGAAATATATATATATATTCATAGTGGCACCTGAGAGACACTTGAGTTATCAACACGAGAAAAAGTGATTATTTCCTCCCATCTCATGATCAAACCATAATACAAATGACGCATTTCTTGACAGGAGAGTAAGAACCCTTCTGGCAATTGTTATACCAGTATATGGAAGCCTCTTTGAATTCTTGCAAGTCTCCAATCCCCTAGTTTAAGCTGAGGGTGCATGGCTACCCCCCTGTTTGTGCTTCAAGTAATGAGTTAAAGGAGGAAAAAATATCATTATATATACATACAGACAAAACGGAAGCTTAAAAGAAATACATGAGAAAACTCATAATTTTTTTTCAAATACACGTTGATAAACAAAGGAAAAAGAAAAAAAAAAAGGGGGGGGGGGGGAATATGAACAACACACTAGTATACTAGTTAACTTAGGTAGTGACTAATCAATTGCATTGTTTGGGTGACTAACACATGGCATGGGGTATACAGTAACTTCATGCATGAGCTATGGTTGATCTCTGGGCGACTGTTAACTGGCAAGCATATAAATCTGCCGGTCTTGGTCATATGAAGCTCACAATGACTGATGCAGTCAAAAGGATTTAGCTGCCTATAATCTGAACCATATTCATAGCTATGCTATAATGTGTGCTTCAGCTACACACATACTGTAGGTACCACGGTAATGCATCACAAAACACCAGGCTATAAAGTAAACCTGTCTTCCCATCACCACACAAGGTACACAATCAACACAGAACTTCCACACTATATGTATAACAAGTCTGATATAATGTGGTCCACAAGTACAGTTGCATTACAAAAGCCTTCACAGCAGAGCACATCAGACATGAGGATCACCACCTCTTTTTCTTGTTTTTAATTCACAAGGTATCCAAAATTTTCTGAAAAGAGTTCTTGTTCTCACATCACCACTCAGTTCTGTTTAAAGTAAAGCTGACAAGTAAAATCAGCTGATTCAAGGTGTGGCTCTTCCTCAGAATGATATAATAAAATAGATGACTTTCTTCACGGGCATGTACCACACCGGCTTCCATTCCACAGTTGTGAATCAAGTGATCTGTTAATATCTTTGTTACTGCAAGTGGGATTTTGTAACTAAAACCATCCTTACTCTAAAAGTAAAGGTACCATGTGGGAATCATTCTTTGCCTAAGATTTTAAACACAACCTTATAATTACATTATTTGTCAATCCCATAATCATTTTTTTTTTTTTACAATATAGTATCTTTATTCTCTATGTACAAAATATGTATTTATTAACAGGAGAAAAAAGAAAGACAGAAAAAAATAACATTTATACCAAAGGGCAGTTAACAAAAAGAAAGAAATAAAAAAAAAAGATATATATAATATCATAAAAAAGAAACTCCACTCCTAAGTTGCCCAGCTTCTTCTAAGTCTGAAGAGTGAACTTTCTACAAAGGAAACGTATACCCTTTTTTCATATATTTTGTCACCCATGTATGTCAGCACTTTCTGAAAAAGAGTAAGTAAATAAAAATAAGAAAATAATATAGACAAACATTTGAAACTTAACCTAACAATGTCAGGGTAGTGAAAATACATGCAATGTCCACAGTGATTTTAGTTTACTGTGTTTACTCATAGATGGTTCCACAAGTGCTTGGTCACCAGGGAGTCTATTGCTAATTCAAACTATCTGATCTGTTTATCCTTTTCCTTGCTTTTTATTCTTATTTTCAATTATCAGCATTAGAGGGAGAGAGAAGAAGAAAAAGAAAGAAAGAAAGAAAGAAAGAAAGAAAGAAAAAAATCCCAGGAAAAGAGGATATCAGGATAAGATCACATATGCTAATTGGCTCCTTGGTGGCTGAGGGCTTATAAAAAGATCTATGAACAAACCAAATTCACAAAACAAAACTAGGGTGGACACTTGACACTCGACAGCAATGAGTTAAATTGAGTAGAAAATCACAACTTTCTTTGATTTTCAGAGCTGTACATGTAATCCCAAATATTTGAGTGCTTCTTATCCAGCATTTACAAATCTGCACTTTTTTTTATCAGCTGATATTTACTCTAGACTTCCCGATCTTTTCTCCAAAACTCTCCGCTCCAGTTTTGCCATTTCTTTGGACAGTTCATCTAAGTAAACAATTAGATTTTAACACTTAAAAGGTGTAAAATCACATTTTTGGTGTTTTCTAGGTCAAAATGGTGATTTGGAACCTAACCCCTCCTAACTTTTAACAATCTTTAAAAAAAAATATATAGATTCATCCAACATCTTTTTATCTAGCCCTTTCTAGCCCTTTTCTGTGGAATGCAATGCTGTCGATAATGTGGATTACCTGTACAGACAGTATTACATATGAAATCCACATGAAAATAAATTCTCACAACATTCTCACAAAACAAAAATCTTTACTTTTAATGATTCCGTTCTGCTTAACATTGCAATTGTGGGCATGCCAGTCAACCCACCTTACCTAGAATGCTGATGTGCCACAAGCGTTTCGTATCTGTTCGTAGGTGATCCAGAAAGTGAGGGACCAGGGACCCATGCGCAGCCAGCAGGGGACAAAGCCCTTGTACAGTGCCCAGAAGCCTTCATTGCGGACTGTCTTCAAGAAGCAGTCTGCTGAATTTCGATACAAAAGACCCCTGTAAACGAGGATTGAATTAAATAAATCCAAACACCCTAATGAAACTTATTTCATATCAGTCACAATTATTTTTTGCTACTGAGCTGTAGTGCCATAATCTTATTTCAAGAGAAGCAATTTATATATCTGGTGTGAACTGGGCAGACATACTACTTATATAACACAGACTGCGAATACATATCAAGAAGAAATAAAGACGCTGAAGTTCAAGGAGTAAGCAAAATGCATAAGGGACTACCAACAACAAGGGTGCAAAACTCACACGGGTTACATACATCAACGTACCATTATCTATATACATTACTCACCTCTGTTATCTATAGTAAAAAGAAGTACTTCTGAGGACCCTTTTTACCATCTTATTCAATTTGTAGTTTTTGCTGTCCTAACATCAGTGTCAATTCTTACTTTTTGCTCTGCTTTCCAATAACAATCTTTCTAAGAATCCTACAAAGTAAATGTGCTTTCAATATACTATCAAATTTATGAATTATAGAAACAATTATCCACATACTGTTAATTTCTATACATATATGTGGTAAAAAAAAGAAAAGAAAAGAAAAGAAAAAGGCTCCATAGTCCTTTGATGTTACAAACTAATTCCAATATTAATTCATCTTCTTTTTCTATTATTTCTTCCAGTACCTCATGCACATCTTTCCAAATAACATCTTCCACAAAGTGATGTTTTGAAAAGTTACATGATTCAACAAAACAAACTTGCATGTCATTGAAAAGCAATGTCTTGTTCGACTTTTGTTCTCTTTGGATTAGCTTAACCACTTCACAAGCAAGATTCAGAAAGGTAAAGGATCAAGAAATATGTTATGATTTTGCTGTCTGGAAGCAAGGTATTAAAATCTTGGGTAGTATTTACCCTTTGAAATCCAAAAGAAAAGACTTCTTGTGAAAGGCTAAACTAAACTAAAAGAAAATAACTCACCCATTTTTTTTAATATCTAAGAGTTTGCCTTTGCAGTTTCTTCACTATGCACACAAAAAGCACTCACATTTTACATACCTGGCATAATGCCCATCCCATGGAAGTAACTGACACATATACCAAGATCTATTATTATCAATATTTCCAGAATAGTAATGTTCTGGAGCATCTTTGAACTTTGTGAACAATAATTCTATCCTGATAATTCTATAATATAAGCCTACTTCAATGTGCATCCTGTTTTATCTCTAAAGTGTTCCTTATTCAACTGAAGTTTTCCAATATTTATTATGTAATTTAGAATAATTTCCATAAAAAAAGAACTCTCAGACGCCTAATGAAATACTGAATACATTAAAAGCATAAAATTGTAAGTGCATTTTCCAAAATATACATATTGCATCTGATAAGCAATAATGACATTATGCACTATAATTTATGCATGATTAAAATACCTGTACTCTCATACTAGTGCCAGCCCTTCATATCCACACAATGCTAATCTTACACTGGATCAGCACTCTATTACATATTAATGGCAATGGAATTCCTTTGATACTACAGGATACAATCCATGATGCAATGGCAATTATTTGAACTCAAAGCTCACAATATCAGTATGAAGCTACATGTTGTGAGACATAACAGTATACTAAGACTGTTAACCAACAAAAGGTATGAACTCAAAGCATACAAGACGTGTGTGTGTGTGTGTGTGTGTGTGTGTGTGTGTGTGTGTGTGTGTGTGTGAGAGAGAGAGAGAGAGAGAGAGAGAGAGAGAGAGAGAGAGAGAGAGAGAGAGAGAGAGAGAGAGAGAGAGAGAGAGAGAGAGAGAGAGAGAGAGAGAGAGAGAGTGTGTGTGTGTGTGTGTGTGTGTGTGTGTGTGTGTGTGTGTGTGTGTGTGTGTGTGTGTGTATGTGTGTGTGTGTGTGTGTGTGTACTCATAAAATAATTACATATATATATATTTATGTATAAATATATATAGAAAACAAAAATGACAGAATTCAAATCAACATTTGCAAAGTCTTCATTCCCAAAATATCATATACTGGAGGAAGGAGCAGCAACACTCCACTGAAAGCACTTGCTGGCTGGCCCCTAACGCTTCCTTTTGAGGGGTTCTCTAATTGCTTTACATGAGAGCTCAATTCATATCAAAATAAAAAAGGAGAAAAAGAATGCATATATCAATAAAAATAAACAAATAAATAAAGATAAATAAATAAAGAATGGATCAAGACCCTCTCCTCATCCTGACTTACCTGGACTTACTGTCAGTAGGCTGGTTCATAATCCTGGCCTTAACTACGTCGGCAGGGCAGCCCAAGACGGCCGACACCAGGCCAGATAAGGTACTGCAAGATGTATAATGGAGGTTCTTCCTCATTTTTTCTGCTCATGCCCTGCTTACTTCTACAAGTGAGCTCGTCGGGTCAGCTGGATTTCCAATAATATATATCGCACCATCAGGAGACCAAGATCAACAGTTCCTTGCAATATTGTTGGAAACCCAAAAGAGCGACAAGGAGAGGATAAGAAATGAGAGAGAGAGAAAAGATAAAAAGAAAGAGATAAGTTAACTGGCTTGAGAGAGGAGACTTGAGCTCATCCACTTCATATGATAAATAATAATAATAATAATAAAAAAGGAAGAGCATAAATATGACAACAAAAATAAAATGTCTCGAAGATCTCCCCTCTCATCCAGTTAGCTTACCGACACCTATATGTAACCCTGGTCTGGCCGATGCTAGAGGCGGGCACTTGTCTCAGGCCAGGGTGGCAGAGCGGCACCCACCTGGCCCTGTGGTCCGTGGGCTGGTTCATTAGCCTTGTCTTCACTACGTCAGCTGGTGTACCCAACGATGCTCCTATCAGTCCTGAGCACGCACTGCAATAACAACACTGGTCCACATAGTTCACACTCACACCCACAGCTTCCTCAGTGTGCTTTATCTTACAACTCTCAGCTTGGAAGCAAATGTTAGTAATTTGGATTTATACAATTTCTACTCACTATTGATACCTAAAAATTAATGGTCTATCATTCAAACTTTAGTACTGGCAGGAGAATCAAAGAATAAACAAAAATAAAATCATTCTCTACATCCATAACCACTAATGTCTACAGCTAAATCAAAAGTTGCAATTATGAATCTTAATTAAGCTCTTAACCCATTGGCAACAGGTGCATGTAATGTCCACAATAATTTTTTTGTGTGAAATTTGTTACAAAAAGAAGGCTCCATATGTGGTCATCACACTACAATTACATCTATTAAAAATATAACTACCTCTATTCTCATTCTCCTTTTCCCAGCATCCCATACGGACTCACACAGACAAAAGCAAACGTTAACACACAAAAATATAACTCATATCTTCATGAATCTTCATGTCAGTCTTGAGTTTTGTCATTTTCTTCCCAAGAATAAATCTGGATAAAACTGTAAACAAATTAACTGATAAAAAAATAAAAGAAAAAGAAAAATAGATAAAAACACACATATATGAAACATAAATATTAACCCCATGCTGACGGGTCACACTTAGCGATGTCATGACAAAGTCTGTACACCACGGCAACGTGCCAGAGCGCTTGGAGCGGGATGTTCACCTTGATGTAGTGGACTCCCACGCCCAAAGTCTACTCATTGCCATTAATTTCCAGAGTGTAGAATTTTTATTCATTTTCTTCACTCGTCAGCATTGTGATAAGGAAAAAATAAAGTTACCAATCATCTTATACAACTGATGAACAATCCTATTCCAACCTCACTGTGGAAACCTCTTTTGATATAAAGTAATAATTAGCATTAAAAATCAAAATACAAAAAAACATGATTATGCTATAATTCTAAACAAATAATAATAAGCCTTTTAAAATAAATACTTATACATTATGAGTTAACTGAAAAGGGCAGAAAAAATAGGTCTTTTCTAATGAAAAAAGAAAAAGAAAAGGAAAAATAAGAAAAGAAACAAGTAAAGGATAGACAGATAGATAGATAGATAGATAGATAGATAGTGAGAGAGAAAAACAGTTTTGTAAGTAATTCCAACACATTAAGTCAGTTCTGCAACTACTAATAATCACTGTTTGCTGAAAAATGAAGAACATAAAAAAGAAAGAAAGAAAGAAAGAAAGAAGAAAAAGAAGATCCTTAAAGGTTCTCAAACTGCATGAAAAGGAGATGGAATTAACAAAAAAATAAAAAATAAAAAATAAACAATTAAACACCAAGTACACTATTTGGGTTTGACAATGTAATGGACATGAATACTCAAAACTCAGACTCTCTTAATTCTTTTAACACATGTATGCACTATCCTCCCGCTCTCTTCCATGCAAACACATTCATGGTTATTTTATATTTACTTAATACTAGCTACAGAAGCTTGTCAAAGTAAATGTACTTCACAGTTCACATTTCAGGTCCTTCTGCATATGCAAATAAGGATATCCACTTTTGAACTTTAAAATAGAATCCTGTTCCTCTGAGCCACTAGTGACCCTTTTGCATATGCAAATAAGGATATCCACTTTTGAACTTTACTCTAAAATAGAATCCTGTTACTCTGAACCTCCAGTGACTATTTTCTTGCACTTTACAATCCTGGGTCAAAAACAAAAGGTTATGTGTTGAAGATTCTGGTGCTACTGCTGTTCCTGTTACTTTCTCTAAGCATTTATATGAAAAAATCTAAATTAATAAAAGCACCATTTCAAGTCTTTATTTGAAAACTTGCCTAGGACTGTGTAAAATGTTTGGCTAATGTAAGGTAAGGTATATTGCTAAAGTACCACCCTAATGGTCATCTCACTTCAACAGGAAGCCATCAAATAAATCCAGAATGTAGAAATATAAAAATAAGAATGCATAACTATAGGGCAAGTGATGCATCTGAAATATCTTGATTCAGTTAAATCTTCAAAAGAATCACATGTCATTCTGATCAATATTTCATTCAAGTGCAACGATTTCATCTATTGCATTACGAAGTTACTCATACTAATTTATATTTTTCTCTATTCATCACAATGACTTTATTTAAAACCAGAATTGCAAAGAGAACTGGTTTACACATAGAGTAACAACTAAATTGTTATGACTTTTCAACTGATTATGAACCATCAGAAAAGAGGCACAAGCACTTCATTGGTGTGACTTGCAAATTACTGGAATGGAAAAGTGGCATGACATACACTTTCATTTGTGATGTCAGAAAAATAAAGTGTACAGAAATCTGGGGAGACTTAGTTCATGTTGCTAGGCATCACACAGTATCCCTGAATGGGTGTCATAAATTTTTTTTTTGAATTGCTGAAGTGATACCTGTTATTATTAACTTATCTTTTTATAATTTCAACTAGAGCCTCTTTTGTCTTCAATTAAAGAAAGATCTTTACGAATTATGCAATTCATTCTCCCACTTCCTAACTCACCCACTCACTCTCTCTCTCAAAAACGAAAACCAAACCCCATACCTAGACAAAGCATGGGTCCAATATGTATCAGGCAGCCCCCAACTGTTCACAAAATATCTCTTGACCGAGTCATAGGTGGTCAGATCACCGAGGTTGACGAGTGCTGAGCGATAGACGTTTGGCATACAACCTTTCCACAGGCCACGCATTCCACCTGCCTGGTAGATCTTGATGAAGGCTTCCCCAGCCGAGTGAACTCTGCAAAGGGTTTTGTATGTATGAGGTCATTGTTTTACAGTAAAAAGAAAGACAAATGGAAAAGAAAATTTTTAGCTTGATTATTTACAGGATATTATTAAAATTAAATTTTGGAGAAAAATAAAAACATAGAAGGATGGAACAATGGAAGGAAGCAAGCAAACAGAAGGGATAAGTAATAATAATAATAATAATAATAATAATAATAATAATAATAATAAAGTTCAAAAGAAAGGGACAGGAAGATAGTGCAAATGATAAAGATGAAAATATGGATGAGAATGAGGATGATGAGGATGTGGAACAGGAGGAAGAAAAGAGGAAGAAGAGGAGGGAGGAGGAGGAGGAGGAGGAGGAGGAGGAGGAGGAGGAGGAGGAGGAGGAGGAGGAGGAGGAGGAGGAGGAGAAGAAAAAAGAAGCAAAAAAAAAAAAAAAAAAAAAAAAAATCTACATAAGAAAATAAGAGAGGAAGAACAACAAAATCAGGAACCAAGGAAGAAAACAGAAGCATCAAATACTTTAAAATCACAGAGAGAAAAATAAAAAAAAAAAAAAAAAAAAAAAAGCAAACCAAAATGCGCCAGAAAGTGAAGACAAAAGGGAAATTAATCATGACAGCAAACACAAGGAGACCAAAGGGCCAGCGTACCGTGGGGGTTTGCCTTCCAGCCTTCTTCGTCCTTCCATCTGCATCTGCACTTTGACCAGGTCGGCAGGTGAGGCCAGGAACTGCGCAATTCCTCCCACTAAAATACCTCCCACAATGGCCTGCCTTTTGAAGGAAATTAGGGGAGCAATAATGGATTGAAACATTCAAAGGTTGTTTGAGTTTACAAGTTTCATTCATTTATAATTTTTTTTAAAACACACTGCAAAAAAGGATCCAGAGCTACTCTCCCCCCTTTCTGAGCTGCACTGGGCCCTCATCTTTCTATCCTTACCCTAAAGTATCTGTTGCTGGTGACATATGTTATCATGTACATCAAGTTTTAGTGTGCTTTGTCTTTGATCAGTACATCATCACTGGTCGGCTTTATAACACACATCAAAGGCCACTGATTTGACCTTGAGAATGTGTCACATCATTTGAAATGTTAGTCAAACTAAAGAAGTGGTCTTGGGTTATGTGATCTGACAAGACTACATGATTCGTAGCCAACATATGAAGCTGAGATGCCCCCTCATATGGAATCTAACTGAGCACTGATCTCTCTAACTGTCAAACTCTCGGTCTGTCACAAAATCAGGATTTTACTGTGCAAATAACAGGATGAATTATATTTATTGCTAAAGAACTATAAGGTAAATGCTGATCACTACAACATGTTAAATGGCTGTCTGACAAAACCCTATGATGTTTATGACTGTAGTGTCTTCAGCCTAGACAATACTACTGATGTCTTAAAGTATTTGGCTAAAAGTCCCCTCATCAATTTTACTAAGAATTGTTGGCATAGCATGAAACAGAAACTAATAAAGGAGACATGTCATCCTTGAAGTAAATAGGCAATGACATAACCAAAATGTGGTCATGTTTTTGCACTAGTAACAGCAAGCCTAAAATCTCTGGATAGTCAAGTACAAGGAGAACATGAACAAATTT